AAACACATGTTTCTTCCTTCTCAACTGCCACTCAATCACATTACAACATAGCAACCAAATAGAAGCTCTGTTCTGTTTGGGAGAAGGGTTGTTGATCACTATACAGTGGGGCTGCAATCTCTCCAGTTGCTGCCAAATACCATCTTGACCCTTCATAGTGGAAAAGTTGTATCCTGTCTTGAAATCCATAGGAGATGCAACTTTAACACCATTCTTTGAAAGGAACCAAGATAATCCACTGTTTCCATGAAGTAACTCAACAACATCAGGATGATCATCATTACAGAAGAAAAAGGACTGTTCTCCGAATTCGGCATCAACATACAGTTCGTGATCTTCACGCAAGTTCTCCGGATTCTCATCGTCTAATGCCGGAATGGAAACATCATGCCACTCATCGTGATCACGTCTAACCTTTGACTGATTCACACGTATCACTGCCTTACCAGTATTGGCTTGGACCATAGCTCCTTCTTGTCCAAGTACTGTGGCACGAACCCAACGTCCTTTATCCTTGAACTTTGATGAATCCTGAGTCCAAACAAAAACCTTCTCTCCTTGGAAATAAGGACCGTCACTTGGCATAGTCCTTCTTGCAAGATCTGCTCGAAGGTCCTGAGCTTGTCGTGCTTCTTGATGAGCTCTCAAAGCCACACGTTGTAGTTCCAAATTTGTACGATCTTGTGCGGCGGCATTAGCTGACAATTGCTCAGGGCTTGCGGTCTCAAGGTCAAAAAGATCTGGTGGACGTCTTCCAGTTGCTATCTCTATTGGTGAATATCCACTGATAGTCAACTGACAATTTCTTGCCCAAACTACCTTCTTGACCACTTCTCTGACCGTAACACCACGAAAACGTGGGTCATCCAGATCTACTTTCATAACATGCCACATACGTTTGAACAAACGTACAGCTGTCTCTGCTCGGTTCGGCCAAGGAGTTCTTGGCCCACAAGGACATTGTTGTATACCATGGAACCTGTAGTATTCAACAAAAGCATCTGTGAAAAAGGCTTCGTCTCCTACGATGGCCTTTGGAACACAGTTGTTCTCATCAGACCACTGCCTCAATGCTTGGATGGTGGTTTGATCTATGAGGTCTTTCTGTGCCGTAGCCCAGAGAAGATTTGTGGCACCATCAAGAACAAGTAGAATGATATACTTGTTCTTGTGAAGTTCAACCTCACAATGATCAGCAAAAACAACATCACCAAAACATGAAGCTCTAATACCGGAGACTCTGGCTCGTGGCGGAGGTGCCACTGAAGTGTTACAAACACGGCAGTTCCTGACAACTGATTCATACTTCTCTAAAACAGAGTCAGGAAGCTTCAACATAGAAACACGTCTACGAAACTGAGTAGGACTCATATGGTAGTGCTTCACATGAAGCTTATAAAGCTCTACCTTGTCCTCCAGTCTCTGTAACATCTTCCTATATGCCGGTGTCATTGCAACAACTTCACTACCAGGTAATGGGATTGAAATCCGCCTAGGCTCAAGAGCGCCATCACCTGGTTCAAGTGGTTCATGCTTATCACTTGATGGTCCTTTTGATGCTTTAGGAATTTCTACAAGTTCACCTTCTGGCCTCTCAGGTGGTTCTGAGGGAGCATACTCCTCAAGATCATCACCCTTTAAATCATTCTGAGGCTCAGATGGTTTCGACTTGTGTCCTTTCCAAAATGGATCAAAACCCTTGGAAGTATACCGAAACTTTGGCGGCACGGGCTTTTCCGCGGCACTGGCTGGTGCACCTTCCTTCTCTGACGAGAAGCCTGGTTCCCTGTCCTTTGCAATGGGAACCTTCTCTGAGGAGGAGCGCACCACTGCATCGGGATCACCAATGCCACGGTGCTCAATTCCAGCCTTCCTGATCTTTAGATCTGGAATTTTGGCATCTGGCTTAAATTTAAAAATTGTTCTACCACGCCATTCATAGCCAAGTTGTAGGTCCTTCCATTTTGCCTTGCGCCAATCATCTGTCTTCTTGATTTCTTCTCCTCCTGCTTTCTTCTTGATGATTGTCAGTCGCAAGTCTTCCAGCAAGTCAGTGTCTACAGGACAGGACTTAGTTGCTGGGAAAAGAATTTTCCTGTAATCCTTGTGGTGACGTATCAGTTCTCTCTTGTGAACATCTACTTCCCAGAAATCAACCACAGGATATGCATGCTCAGCTTCACCTTCATCACTATTGTGTTCAACAGAAATATGGCCATATTCATAGTGAGTGAGGTGAGAGTAAAAACTCTTCTCACGCTGAGTCTGCCAACGCACGTCAGACAGATACCATGCAATATCTTGGAAGTCCAACACAAGATGAGTACTGGCTGCAACCTTCAACTCCAAAAATTTTATACCAAGAGGCACCGATGTCAGATAAGCATGTTGAGGTGTCAGCCTAAGTTCAAAGCCTAAGTTCCTCATCTGTGGCAAGCTCATAAGCAAAGGGACTTCTCCTTCTTCCACTATGTCGAACTCTGTATGGTGGATCGTCCATGCACGATCATACATGTAAATCACCAGTTTCTGAGAGCAAGTAGCCTTCTGGGAATTGGCAAAGTAAAACTTGCTCTTGGTAGCCTCAAAAGAGTACCATAATCCACAATCTGGGTGATTGTCGACATAGTTGCAAAAATGGTCGACTGCTCGCCTTGATCCCATAGCTCTAGTGCATCCAATGTCCAGGATTGCAATAGTTGGCGGGAAGCGATTCTCAGTCAAAAATGAAATAGCCTGCATCTCCTTCACTTCTTCCTCAGCGCTCATAAGCGCAAAGCCATCAGCGCTCATAAGCGCAAAGCCATCAGGAGCCTTTGTGAGCATCTCCTTTGACAAAGAGTACCTCACAGGGGCACTCATGTCATCGAAGATCGTCTCACCATTGTTGACCACGCAGTCAGCTTCATCTTGGCATGAGGTCATCATGCCTGACAGCAAGTCCACCTCACTGTCATGGACTTCAGCTGCTGCTGTCACACAATGTGCAAAGAAACATTGTTGACCTCCTGATGCTTGTGAAGTTCTTGAAGGTGCAGGTAAAGAACGTGGCTGTTGTTGGTTTGCATAGTTTGCATCTTGTTTGCCATCTCCCTTATCTTTTCCTTTTCCTTTCTTGCCTTTTCTCTTGCCTTTTCCTTTTCCTTTGTGGGAAAACCATGCTTCTTCAAGCTGTTGCCAAAAGTCATTGGCATCATCATATTCTCCTTGAAGATAGTCATTCATATCCTCGGCAAGAATGGCATCATATGCTCCTTGGTTTGACTCCCAAGTGTCCTCATAAGGATTCTCTTCAAGGTATTCATCTGGAAAAGTTGTCTGTTGCTCATCAGCAAAATGGCCTTTACCTCGTCTCTTTCCTTTTCCTTTTCCACGAGGTCTGAAGAATCTGCGGCCTGATCTTCCTTTTCCTTTTCCTTTCCTTTTACCTTTTCCTTTGCCTTTTCTGGCTCTTCTTCCTTGGAATCTCCTTTGGAACCATGAGAAGTTTTGATCATCATATACCCAAAAGACATCGTCCAGGGCATCTAAAAATCCTTCTGTTCCATCTTCTTCATCTTCGGCCCAATAGCCAAATGTACCATCGAGTTCTCCTTCGTCTAGTACGAGAAATGATCTTCTACCTCCAGCACCTGTCGGCTGCATCAATGGATTGTCTACTGAAGTCTTTGTCGTAGAACATCTCGATGAAAACTGTCCTCAGCTCTGTTGTAGTGTATTGCTGCAGGTACCTGCCACGATGAGTCATCAACGAAGTCAAAGTGTTTCGCTGGTCCTGAGACAAATCTGCAAGTGACAGCATGAGTAAAGCAATCAGATTTTCTCCTAGAGGAAATTCGTTCTGATGAAGAATTCTCATATTGCCATTGACATTCTGCATGATTTCCTGAATCCTTTCTGCCGTTGGTGCTACTCCAGTCAACGCTGCATCTGCCTGCATCTGAGCAAGGACTTGGGGATGTGCTTGAGTGACTGGTTCTAACATGTCCATCCAACTGCTCATAAGCCTTTGGAGTAAAATCTGGAATCTTGTCATCCATTTCATCATGTCAGCTGATCCTCGATTGAATCGCACGAATTGCATAAACCTGTATAGGAATACATTGGTTGATCCTTTCACGAAATATGGTCGTAGTACTCGTTTGAAGTAATCTACTCCTGCTCCTGGTGGCTCATTAGCCTTCAATGAATCTCTGTCTAATACACGTTTGTATACTGCTGCTTCTCCTTCTAATCTGTTTCTCGATGCTGGTCCTCTTTTCTCATCTTCCAGCTCGGTGATATCACACCAATCGTCTATGGCATCCTCATAGGAAAACCATGAAGTCTTTCCATCATAAGATGGGGGCACCTTTGTAGTGACCTGTGTTGTCATTGCTATTGCTGCTGGTTCTCTTCTCACATGCCTATTCACGTAGGCTGCTGGCTCATAAGCCACATCCGCATCAGGCTCTTCCCAGTCGTCAATCCAATCCATGGCCGTTTGCCCACAAGCAATTCTATGCCTAGGAAAGGAGCTCACCTGGGTCTTCCAGGATCACTGCTCCGCTACCACTGAAAGAGTGACTAGGGCGTACACGGTAGAGGTGCAGACCGCTAGTGTCTTTTATGCGCAGAGTCTTATCCTCTTGCTCTTTAGGTCCATTGACCCTCTCTTGAGCCTTGTAGCAGTCAAGCATGGACACACTATATCAGCTGTTGGAGTGGAACCCTGTACAGGAGGCTCTACCTTTCAGGGGGGGGGGGGCCCCCCCCTACATATGAAGTTTTCACGTGATGCGGCGATCCCGAGGATTCCAGCCCCTCACTTGCTAAAGCAAGGACAACTCCAGCTAGCTGGTGCTAGCTTTCGTGATATACACTGGTAAATAAAAGCCATGTTTGTTGAAGCACTCCCAACATTTCAAGAACAAGTTCATCATCGTCCAAGCCGTGAGATCAAACCGAATCCTTTAAGGCCAAGTCATCAATCGGTGCAGTATGCACCACAACGCATCGGCCTGTGCTTCCAGCCCTCTGAACGGGCAAAGCCCATGGAATGTTCATCACCTCAAGGAGTGCGGTGCACGATCAAACCAGAACGTCCTCCCTTTCAGGCTTTCAAGGAGAACCTCTGTGCCCACACAAAGTACGATCTCTCGTTTTTTGATGGTTTTTTGATGGTTTTTGGTATTATCAGATCTCATGAGATATAAACATCATATAAAATCAGAACCCCTGAGTTGGAAGGTGCTACAACAAATGGAATCCGTCCTGTGGTGCTCACCACAAATGGAATCTGCAGTCCATGTATGTGGAGACTCCTCACCACGAGATCAAATATGTCAGACCCATGTGTTTTGGCCCAAACAGAGTTGAACACAGCCAGAGCACATGGTACAAACCTGAGCATTGCAAACCGTATTTTTCTGCTCCTCCCACATTATTCACCTACAGGACTTGGGACCTGCAGAACAATTACACCAGCATAGACCCAGATAGCTAGGCAAAACATTGTTATTTGAAGTAAGAGCCCCATAGCTTCGCTATCTGGGGAAAAAGGGTTTGGGACCGGGACCACGCTGCTTTTGGTTTCTTCCTCTCTCGCCCAATGGTTCCCCTCGACCCGACCATCCCCGCCCGCCTTCCGGACCTTCGTCATCGTCGAGGAAGACCTACGACTTCGGGGGTCCAACCGACTGTGGATCCACTTCGGGGGCCTTGAGAGAAAGGACTTGTATATAAGATCCAAGGTGGAGGTGGAGCAACTGAACCATGTTTGGTATCTTAGAGAACTCATGACTCAGGGACCCACATGGAATCTGGATTGGCACACAAAGGTTGCAAAGAAAAGGATGATTGGGAGGGGGATGGGGTGGTGGGGATGTGTTCTGCCAAACAAAGGGCGTGAAACTAACCAACAGTTAGGTGGTAGAAGGTGAGGTCCCCTTTTGCCAGCAGTACGTGCATTGCCACTTGAACATTGCTTTCATCCCACAGTGATGCTAGGCAACACTAGCCATCGACTTGGCTAAACCACAAGTCCCTGAAACAAAACAAACAAACAAACAAAACAAAACAAACAAAACAAACAAACAAACACACACACACAAACCAACCCACAAACCAACCCACCAACCAACCAACCAACCAACCAACCAACCCACCAACCAACCAACCAACCAGCAAACAAGCTATATAATGTGTTAAAGCATCCTTCCAGTGTCACTAGTTGAAGTTATATAGTTGGATCAAACCAACTGGACTGGCACCAAAAAGATACACCCCAAAAGCGGGCTATCTTATGTTATCTTTGCAAACTTCACCAACTTTGTTTCTTTTCGTGGCGACAAATTAAAAGAAATACATCGACCGTGTTCAGCCCTCAACATGTGGGGACCAAAGGGGATAAAAGGGAGCAAGGAAGGAAAAGAAAGGAACAAAGAAGGTCAACAGTTCAAAAGTGATAAAACAAAAACATGATTTATCTATACATCTGAAGACAAAAAGTCCCCTCTAAATCTTTGCTGGAGTCAACATTTAATGATATTTAATGTGTTCTTCGTTCCCACCTTTTTGTGACCGCGACCGTGTGTTTTCCCATGGTGGCGACCTGCACCGCCGACTCCACAAAGGTCTGGAAGCGAGGTCGGTCTCGTGGTGCCAAGAAGTCTTGGAACACACGGCCTCGCACCGCACCGACCACCGACGAACCCGTCCTGTTGACCTGGAAAGTCGGAACTGGTTTTCCACCACGGTGCCAGGTGCCTCGACATGTCTCTGTCTGTGATGTATCATAGAGTGCATAGACCGGATTTCTGGTCTTGAGATCTTGACCCGCCGTCTGACAGTTCAATGGATCGGAATGTTGCAAGGGCCAAAGCGCAGACCCTCTCTGAAAGGGCCAAAGCCTTCAAGCGGTATTCACCAAATTTGCCAGGCGTCCGATCAACGCTACTAAGGGGCCATCGCTATTAGGTTGGAGGCCATTATTACATATTATTACTAGTAGCAAGGACGCTAAGCAAAGAAGAATCCAAGCAAAAACTTTGATCAATCTATCGAGATAATGAAGCTACTTAACAACGGGCATCGCTACTAGTAGCAAGAAGACTAGTAGCTCCTGGCATTACTACTAGTAACTTGAAGCTACTGGAACTCTCTCGATGAAGTCATTCCCCGACTCTTTCGAAGAGCTCTCGATGACCTCAGCTCTTGGGAACGGCGCCATTCTCCCCGAGCCCGGACGTTCGCCTTCCAAGGCTTTGCTGGAGCTGGTGCTCATCAAAAGCTGAGCAAGGCCTTGCTTCGCTGAGCGAAGGCCATGTTCCCTACATTGAATGACGCGTCCGGTGGGAAGGGAGGACCTTTCGATGAGATCACTGGAGGGCCTCGTCAACTGGTCCCGGATTTGCAGATTCCTCTGCCATTTGGGCTTGTGGGACATCTTGCGTGCTGTTCGTGGTTCCCCAGCAACCCCCGCTCCAGAGAAACACTGCCTCGCAGCAAAACAATCTGACCAAGCACCAGTGCCCAAAACGACCTTCGCCTGGATTTTGAAACAATACAATCAAGTCAAGGCACCCTCGAAGAATTCCAATGTCTGCAACCCTCTGCCATTTTCTCTTTCACTTCACGGGTCAAGCACGACATCAAGCACCACTAGCATCAAACTACAAAAAACCAAGAGAAAAGGGCACAATCCAAGCCAAATCAAGAAACAGTAACATCACTACGAACTGCGCCCAACCAGCTCCACTCTCCACTCTCCGCTTTCACCAGCTCTGTCTCGTCTGGCCGGACCTCTGCAGTGAGAGATGATATTCAAGTCCTGTCCCAGGTAAACCTGACGCACTGGGCCAAATGAAGTGGCCAAGCGGCACAAAGGAATGTCGAACGCGCGACGCAACGCAGGTGTTAGATGCAAAGGACGTGTATGATTGGTAGATATTGGTAGACTACGGTCAAAAGCAGTCGAGCAGAAACACTAGACTGAAACCTGAAGGCTTGTGTGGCCAGTGCTGTGGAGAGGATTTTCTGCGTTTTCTGAGGGCCTTGAGCAGTGAAAACTCACTGTATGAGTGATGACAGCGAGCGGATGAGAACTGAAAGAGATCGCAGAGAACAACCCTGGTGAAAGCCATGACACGGATGAGGCCATGATGAGGCATTTATCTGTGTATTGTTTTAACGTGATTTCATGTGATTTCTTAGGTCCCCGATGAACCCAACCCGATCCGATCATTAATTCTGCCTTGATTTCGTGAGGTCGGTCAAGTCGGTCAGGTGAAAAGGTACAAATGTCTTAAGCGACCCGGTTCTCGCGATCCGCGGTTATCAACTATAGTTGTTTCCCAGTGCGACCTGGTCAAACTCCCAGGTGCTTTAGTTGGTCCACTTCCGGTTCAGGGATGGTGACTGCATGGGTATGGCTGAGCACTGTTCAAGGTGAGGATTCGAGCCTTTAGTCTCGTTCTGTAGGTGTTCTTGCCCTCCTTTCATTCCCCAAGAAGTACCGCAGGGTCCACAAAAACCTCTGCAAATACTGAATTCCAGGGGAAGGAGACGCTGTGACGCTTCGCTGTGACGCTGTGACGCTTGCCGCGGAGTGAGGAGATCGTCTGCCCAAAAGGTGTTCTGTAGGAGATGTGATACATCTTCCCTGGAAGTAACCATCGAAGTGGATGGCACCTGTTGGGTCTTCGGACAATAGACATCCAAAGGTCCGTGCCATCCACTTCTTTCAGGGGCTCCTGGCCGTACTACTAGGAACAAAGGACACTACTAGGGGCTCCTGACATCGCTACTAGGAAAAAAGGACCCTACTAGGGGCTACTAGTAACAAGGAGTGTAAGTCGATCTCTTGGAGACTTTCCCTTCACGTCACCAGCACACCCCGCCTGAGCATCGCACAGCACTGCAAGCATCCGTCGAGCCGCAGAGTGCTCGTGAAAGAACTGTTTCACCTTCAAAGACTTCGATCGAAGACTTCGTGGGGAATCACCATCACTACACTCCCACTCGCAATAGAACTGGACGGGGTTCTGTCCTGTTTGTAGAGCAAAATGCTCTTCTCGAGGCCGAACTGCCATCCACTTGCATGTTGCTGGGTTAGAGTGTATATTATGATTATGATCAGAACAAATCTTTCCTGAACTTGCTCGGAAAATCACAGGAAGATCCAGGTTTTCCAGGATCTTCGTTGTGGGCTTGTATTCCATGATGCGGGGACTAACCACTTGGATGTCTGAATAACAAGTCAAAGTAGATCGTAGGTCTTCTGCAAAGCTCAGGAAAACTCGGGTTGGTTACCAGTGTGGGCTCCCAGCTAGCATGCTGGCATTTTCCTTTGAAATACGTTTCAGAATCATCAATCAACCAGCCACCATCCAGCGAAGCCGTGCGAAGCTATGCGAAACTATGCAAAATTATGCGAAACATGTGATGTTTGGAATCTGAATCTGAAGAATGCGATGGGATGTGTTGAGTCAAACATCGTTGGATCAGCGTTCAACATACATCTCTTGGGTGGAACAGTAGAGCATGCTACTGATTGCTATTGAACCGTTTTTTGCTTTGCGCAAGAGTTTTTGCACAACTATGGCCACGGCATGCCAGCTTCTTGTGCCCTTCTTGTACCTGTACCCTGGGAGTTTTTACCAAGCAACGCGATGGTTGCACAAAGGAACGGTTCTTCCCATCTGGCGAAGTGCAACACTTGCTCCGTGGCTGACAAGATTGATCACAGCGGCATGGGTTGCGTCTATCCTATTACCTGTAACAGTGGATGATGATGGTTAGTAGAGGCCTTGTCTAAAATAATGATGTGTTCACTGACTGTTACAGGTAATAGGACCCAAGGCATGGGTTCACTTGAATATTTGTTTGTGCTGAAGGCTGAAGATGTCTCTTTCCGTGTGCCCAAGCCGCTCTAGGTATTCCTGTTCCTTTCGAGGATATGGATATCTGATATATGCTGTTTTGTTGTAATATGTAATGTAGTCCTCTGATTCATAGACGCCCCTAGAATAATGTATTCTTTTTCATGCACAGATTATTACAGTAAAAACCACCAGAATAATGTGTTTTTTGGGGCAGGGGTAGTTGTAGTGGGATATGTTTTATTGTTATCAACTAGTATTTTTTTGGTTTGCTGGAATTTAGTCCTTTTAGAGGCCTTTGGATGGATATTTATGGAAATTTCTAGCAAACAATTCGAGATTTCCCTTGAGAATTGGTGATTTGGAAGGCCTTTGGATGAAAATTTCTAATATAATCTTGGAGATTTCAATTGAGAATAAGTGGCTTTGAAGGCCTTTGGATGCAGATGTCTTTATTCATTTCATGTTTAATATTGCCAAAGATAGCTAAGTAATGATTAAACTAACTTGTTATTTTAGAGGCCTTGGTCGTTGAGGGGGAGGAGGTTGATCAATCAAGAAACTACATTAGTTTTGTAATATATTGTATATCGTATATTTGTAAATTACATGAAATTACTCAATATGTTCATCATTTTTCCCCAATGCGAGTAGCGTAGGGTTCTCGTTTAACTTTGGGGTCTGGAGGTCGAGCCTTGTTCGCGACTCGTTGCTTTTGGAGAGGGCTTTGGATGGAAGCATGACGCGCCAGATTCGTGCGCAGTAGCGGGGAAGCGTGCGGAAACGTGAGGGGATGAAGTGTGGAGGATGAATTCACTGCGCAGGCGCAGCGTTTGAGATCCGCAATTTTCTGCGCAGTCACATTGGGATTGGCGTTTGGAGGGTGGTGTTTTTTGGGGTGTTGGATGTGGCTGTGACAACATTGGGATTTGCGTTTCAAGCTCTTGCTTCGAAGCTGTGCTTTGATGACAAGTCTCAGCTGAAGTGCGAGTTTGGTGGGTGGGAGTGTGCTCAGAACGTGTCAAGATCAGTCCACACGTGTGGTGTGGTGCAAAATTTGCTGATTAAGCTAACATGACGTGATATTGTCAGTTGTCGTGGCAGGCGCAGTACTTTGTGCGGGTTTAAAGGTGTGGAAGTGCAACTTTCGTGGCAGGCGCAGAATCGTGACGTCACATTGTGCCAGCTCCGGTCCCCCGCCGGACCTCAACTGCGAGCTTCGGCTGGCAGTGTTCCCTGCCGGACCTCAACCACGAGTCAGAAGATATGCCAGATAGAACGCCAGAAAGAATGTTAGAAGATATGCCAGATAGAATGTCAGAAAATATGCCAGAAAGAATGCAAACATAATGTTTCAATACATGCCATACATTTTGTCAGATTGAAATGTCAGGGTGGGGATCACTCGAGTAAAGTAACTATCTTTTTTGGGGTGCTATAACATGAGAGTTGCAAAGTGCCGCAACACGAATGCCCCAAATAACATCAAATAACACACCCGCCCCCTTCGTTCCACCCCCGTGCCGCCTCCACCACTTGTTGGTCCGGTTCCCTCATCATGTGTTCTCGAAGAAGCCTTGGAATCGGACCGCTTCGATCAAGACAGGAAGCCATGAAAAAAGTTCCGATCATTCCGATCATGCATCAGATTGAAATCTAATTCGTGGCCCCAGGGAACGAGCCAACATGTGCTCTTTTCCGGCAAAACAAAGCGCTGGCCGCTGGTCCTTTTGAGAACGACTATCCCACACTCTAAGGGCAGTGTAAACTAGTTAATAGATCAACATCTAGAACAAGTCGGTACTGAAGCAACTCTGAGATCTCCTCCCAACCTTACAAACATCCCAGCAAACATGCTGAAACCTGTCCAACATAGTCACGTGGAGACCAGCCAGGCGGGATTGATCAGGCTATCTGTCGTGCACAAAGGAACCAACAGCCTACGTTGGCTCCTTTCTCGTCCATTTTCTGGGCCTCCCATCAAATGAAACAGCACCAGGACGAACAAACGGAGAACATCTGTACATATCTGTGCTGCTACAAAGAACGGTTGCTGGAAGGTGTCACAGGTTCACGTGTCTTTGTTTGGTCCTGACGATCATCCCATCACCCTGGTACAAGTCACAAAAAAGCAGCTGGTTTTGGGATGTTTGAGGTACCCAGACCCTCTTCCCTCCCCCCCAAAAAGTCCCTGTGACATCTGGGAAGTCTGGGAATGCGGAATCACATTCAAACCAGGGAAAGCCTCCTTCCTGGACAGTGCGAATTCAGTTCAGGCACACGGTCCAGACGACGGTCACCAGGCTGGAGCCTCGCGACGTGGCACGCACGGCGCGTGAAGAAGCTTGGTATGAGCTAAGCAGCTAGGACTAAGAAACTCGGAAGCATCGAGGAGGAAACACTTGGCCTCCATCCTAGTAGCGATGGCCTCCAATCTGATAGTGAGGAGTGTAATTACCACCTGGAAGTCCCAAACAGTTCCAAAGTTGCAGGTAGATATTTTGTACTGGGAGCAAGGACGCCACGAGGGGCTCCTGGCCTTACTGCTAGGAGCAAGGACGCTACTAGGGGCTCCTGGCCTTACTACTAGGAGCAAGTCCCAAACAGTTCCGATGTTGCAGGTAGATATTTTGTTAGCTTTACAACTCCTCTTGTTTGTGCTTCGAATCGATCAGTGATGCTTGCTACAGCTGGGATTCACTCTGAACAACTGGTCGCCCAAAAGCATCACTGCTCGCCCTACTGTCCGGCACATGTCAATTAATTGCAGCGTGTGTTCTATTTCTTAGAATCAGTTCCCAAGATCCCGAACAGCCGTACCAAGAGTTGCAACATACTCTGAGCGTGGATTCTGAAAGAAGAAAACGAGCAGCTAGAAAACTCTCATCGTGAGGTGTGGAAAACCATGGTATTGAACATCTCTGTCTTCACTTTTCTATTCATACATGGTGGCACATGAAGCAAAATGCATAAGATTCACAATCACCTGCATTCACCGCTAAACCATTCCTGATTCCACAGCAAACAAGTTGCACATAGAGACCAAGTAAAACATGTGGCAAGTCAGTAGGTACCACAGCGGTTGTGCAAGCAGCTTGTAGCATGTGATCCGTATTCACTCCAGCCCAGACCCTCGCCGCTGCTCAGTGACTGTAACTCCTTGACTGGTATTAAACTCGTGTATCTGAGAGGCATGTGTGCGTGTGCCTAGTGTTGCAAGAGCACGCCGTTAAGTGTGATTTACACCATTCAGTCGGAGTAGTTGTGGCCACCACGATCAGACTTTTTCCCATTTCCTAGCCATCGACAATGTCATCCTTCCAAAGCCCTGGCTGCTCTGGCTGCCCTTGGCCGTGGAAGAACTACTTGCAGAACGAAACATGTCATCAAAACTGTCAGCTCCCAGAGGGGACTTTGCAACCTGACAGGCTATGTCATTCCATAACTGGTTGCCCCCAGGTGCCATGACCATCCCACTTTCCACATCAGCAGTGAAGTCTTCAGTCTTCGCACCTAATTCCGTGAGCACAATGCCAAAGACCAGGTTCTTCTGACCATCGAGCCTGGAAAGACACTGCCCACGGCTGGGGGCACGGATACTACGGGGCACAGCCATCGAGCCGACCCGTTTTTGGGGCGGTCGCAAAGTGAGATGATGGAAGGTCGGGAGAATTTGAACAAACATAAACTCCATGGAGGTAGTCGGGGTGTTTTTGTCACATCCACTCACTGGATGGGACGAGCCACACCATCCAATTGTAACTTCTGCTTGAAGGGACTTTTGTTCCGTGACACGGTCCGTCACACGGTGTTTTCGTCTGAAGACCAGGCTGAACAGCGGTCTGAGTTGGTGCGAGAGTCCTGCGCGAGAATTGGTGACCAAAGACCTTCGAAGATTCTGGGTGCTTCTTTGTTTTCTCAATACGCCTGCGCCAAGCTTCAGCAGGCTTTGCTGAGCCCAGCACTGGGAGTTGTAGAGCCGAAGTAGGTCCACACAGGCAGAGAAGAAGCCCAAAGCTCCAAAGCCTTGGATGGCCGATGTCCCGTGTCCCGCAGCGCGGCGCTACGCCACCGCACTCTGAAGTGCGTGAGGAGTCTCTCTTTTTGCCAAGGTCCGGCCCAGAGGTGCCCCCAAACCCACAGGCTACGCACCATGGTCTACGCATCATGATACAACAGGCATAGGTGTCTCAAAGCGCCAAAGCGATCCTTACATCTCAGACAAAACAAAACTTGGCTACCTAGTATATGGAGATCAAAAGCACCGTATACATTGTCAGTGTTGCGGATTTTGAAGTTTGTTGCACCCGAAAGCAAGAAACTCAAGATTCCCGTGAACATCGTGCACCAACTCAAACACTGAGTGACCAGTGATTGCCTCACAGTAGCAAGCCCGCAAAGCTCCCAAAAGCCTGAAACGTCATCCATGAAACGTCATCTCTGGCCAATCCATAGGCCGTTCTGGTGGAACATCATTGGAACATCTAGCCGAACAAACTCAACTTCACGATGGCTGCAGATCGGACCAAACGCAGCGACAAATCACCGATCCATCTGCTCCCACGCAAAGCTCGCCCGGAGGAACGCGTCGACGCTTGGGATTTGCTCACGAACAAATCCAAATTCCCCGGGGAAGCGCCCATTGGGAAATAGACATCTAAGCAGAACAAGGGTTAGCATCCTGGCAGAAGGTCTTGTGCAGTGTTCCACCGCTTACCATCGCGGTAAGTATACCATACACGAGACCCTACCATTCTGTGAAGCCCGTACAACCATGCCTTTCTCTGATCAGGGGGCTACAGTCTGCAAGCATGGCTGTAGCACAAATGTGCTGGAGGAGCTTCACAGGCGTCCTGCGAAGGGTGGGGACGAGCTCAATGTGAGGGGTTCAGCAGGACCTGCGCAAAACTGCCCACTACTGCATTTGACATTTGACTTCAATGAGTGACCATGACAAAGGATTGACATGTTTACCTGGGGTGGCAAAAAGGTAGGGAGTCCAAAAAAGAAGGTTTGCCCTAAGTGTTGCCATTGGCTCGACAAGAGTGGACGATTTAAAGAACCATGATAATATGGGGAGTAGAAACCTCATAGTAGTTCTTTCTGAAGGTTCCTATGCAAAAGGTTGAAGATTTTCAAGACATGTGCCTTGGGTATACAGAATAAAACAAGTCATTGAACCCAGTATGCAATGATGCAATGTGACACAATGTATTTCAATGTGGGCCGGGCCTTTCATTGGGTTCCTTCAGCTGAACCCATTACCAAGTATATTGAAGATTGACCCAAATTCTCCACAAACAGTTGAACCCAACTCCTCACCTCACCCGCCTTGAACCTCGCTCCAAACAGTTGAACCCAACTCCCATGCGACCGCGCCCCACTCTGGCGCGGTCGGTCGGAGATGGTAAATGCCGAAAACAAAACACACACACATGATTCAGGTTGGACAATAAACAACTCCTTCAAACCCTTTTTCAAATGTATATATATATACTCCCAAACATATACCAAACTTACGTGAACCTGGATGTTTAGGATCTTCTGCGGTTGTCTCCTCATGCGTCTTGAACCAGCCTCTAGACTCTAGCCATTCAATCCTGACATTCAAACAAAATGCATGTGTTGTACATCATTTGGCCTTAAAACACTCTATGGAACAAGGTAAATTATGCCTGATTATATTATAGTAATGAAATATATATATATACAAACATACAATATAATCAATATCAATTATGTCAATGTAATCATTAAACAAGTAATATTTGTCTTCAACTAAAACGTGGCAGTAATGGGTTGCACATGTGTCAAACATTTTGTATGTTCAGCGGCGCACATCATAAAACAGCGCCACAAAAAAATAGACTATAACAAATCTCAACCTCGAATAAATCAATCCAGGTATCATTAGTACTTCCTGGCATAACTAGTAACAAGAAGCTACGAACGTCGCAAGGTGCTACGAACGTAGCTATTTTACTAAGTAACTAAGAAGGTCACCCGAAGGCTCTGGTGGACGCTCGACTTCTCGACCCGCCGTGGCCCCGGGCGCAAGCACGATGGAGGAGGGTTCCGAGATGAAGGTGTGGGCCACACCGACCGCAACGGCCACGAAGCACCTGAGGTCGTTGCGGAAGCTCCAAGGAGCGTCTCGCCGACCGCGGGTCAACTTCCCTTCTTCGGAACAACGAAGCTCCAAAAGGCCAAGGAAGCTTGGTCAACCGACTGGCCTGTTAGGAAAAACAGGAACACCGCAACCTGTACTTGATCGAAATCTCAGTGGTTCTTGCCAAACTCATCTTGACCCTCAAGTTGAGCAGCAAAAGCATCAACAACCACCGGCCGAGGGGCGTTTGGAAAAGGCTGTCCAACGGAAGGTGTGTGGTCGCAGCGGGAATGGCACAAAGCAGGCAGCAAGTATAGAGGCCATAGTCCAAGTAGAGCTGCATGTGGTTGGACCTTCCACCGAACGAACCCACGAACGGCACACGAACCAATGACCTCAGGCTCTTCAGACGTCAGGCAACGATGGCAGAAAGGTGTCTATACAGGTTGAAAGGGCACATCACTGGTCAAATCACTTTTTCACATCTATGGTGTCCCCAAAGCCCATAGAATCTACGGGTCAACGTGTCAACAGTACGGTTGATCCTGGACTGGTCAAGTCACTTTTTGATAGAACAACTGTACTAAGTACCAAAATGATCCAAAATGCAATCCAAACAACATCGATGCGGCAAACCGGTCTGTGACCACATGCCACACCTGTCTGTGACCACATGCTGGCTTCAGAGCACACTTACAAAGCGAAGGAAGAGACAAGTGCGTTTAACATTCCACATTGTACAACCAGCTGATTCATTCAAGTCAGGGACATAGTGCTCATGGCTGATCGCAAGTTTGTTCATTGCTGATTGAGTTCGGAGGGTTTTTTAGACCAAGATCATTCTTTTCACCAAATACACGTGGAGGGCATTACATGTGATATGGTGTGTTTGCTGATTTTGCTGAAAGGGACATTGTCATGCTAAGACAGCTTTTTCCACATCTTGGAAGCAAACACCTGGTTCCAAGTGAACAAGGAGTTGGTTCTTTTGGGTGGGCGATCCACTTAATTTTGAAAAACCGTATTCTTCTCCAATCCTTCCTCTATCCGACTCTATGTTTCTCTTCCTATCTGCAAAATCTCCGGATAAAAGAACATTCATTCCCCCTACTCCTCCAAGTACGTCCTCATGTTCGGTATGACTGGACCCGAACATGGGAACCACGCTACGGCAAACGCCCACCACAGGCCACAGTCTCTTCTGACATTGCACCGGGCCCCCAGTCCCACCTTCTAAGAAGGTACGACTGGAGGCCTAGGGTCCATCACATTCCATCCAACCACCCGCGGCACCTCGCTGGTCCAACGGCCACGTCCAGGAGCCTCAACCACGGTAGAACGACGCGAAGGGAGAACGACGCGGAGCAGAACCGTTGTTTAGAATACAACACATTCCAACCCCTTTCGCAACAAGAAAAAAAACCAACAATAAGTATATATATATATATGACATATATATATAACCTTAAAGAAGCATTCTTCAGGCTTCGTGCTTGTGCTTCGTTGGCCACGGAGGCCCGTATAGGAACCGAAACTCCAATTCTGTCCGGTGTTTGATGCAAAACTCACTGTCGTGCTTCTGTGGCGTTGCAGTGAACAAAAACACACGCAACGACACAGAATCTTCGCTGTTGCAATCTTCCCCCCCCAAAGCGGCTGGTGAACTGAATTTCCATGCAGGAAAGCGGAAGGCAGCCCTTTCCTTGGCAGGTGCCAAACGCCCTGGTCTCTTCGCCGCAAAGTGAACGATGTGTAACGAACTGGTACTTAGATCTTGGTCAGTCAGATCAATCACGCTGTATGCGACAAGCTGCTAGATGCTGCAGCTGTCGCTTGGTTGCCTGTCTTACAAAACCGGGGGACAAGACACAAACCGCATCAAACCGCCATCTCTTGAAACCAAGTGGCATCACTCCAGAGAGGAAAATGCTGAGGAAAGTCGACACCCTGGGAGGAAGCCACCAATGCAAAGGAGTGACTTTCTGAGAATCACAAACTTTGGACGTTTTCAAGACTTTCAAGACTTTCGAATACCAAAAGCCCATTGTTAGGTGAATACAAGGAATTGTCCAAGAAACGACCAGTCATCACTGGATTGGGTCAAATCGGGCTCGAATACCATCCATTCTGCTCTGTCATTGGGACTCCGGTGTGGGTGCTTCCAGGACGATGTCCGGTCCAAAGCTCACTGAGGGCGAATGCTCAGTGGTCCATTATCGGGCCATGGGTCTATCCCATTAACAGTGGATGATGGTTATCCCTGACCAACTTGCAAGTCTTGCGGCACATCGTGCACGGCGTGAGCGGTGCAGCGCATGAGCCAGGTAGTTGATGATTGATAAAATCATGGCCTTATGTTGCCTGTTGCTGGCGATGGGACGTGTCCCCTATGATGTTCTTCCTTCCCATGGAAACATCCTATATGGGTCTGCTCAAAGAGTGATCTGGTCGCTTCCTTTAGAAGGTCGCTCCCCTTTTGATCGATGCCGGAAACCATGCACCAATAAACCACTGCGTGCCACACAACTGGACTTCAACATATCCGAAGTCCAAGAAGAAGGTGATTCATGATCCCTTGACAAGATCTTGGGTCGGTTCTTGGGACGCATGCGTCGTTTTTATGAGCAATTTGTGCTATTGTCCAGGGGGTAACCTCCAACTGTCTGGTGATCGAACTCAAGAGGTTCCTGTCCAAACTCGCGAATTGCGACGGCATCGACTTGTGAGAAACTCTGAGAAGGGTCGATCTACCGTGATTTCCCGACTCTGACCCCAAATGGGCAAAGGCCAGGTGGTTGGTACAAGAAACTGATCGAAACCAATGAATTCTTACAAACCTATACAAACCTAAGTCTATACACACCTCACCAAATGTCTCTGACCCCACCCCAAAATGTCCAGCTTGGAACTTGGAACCACCTCTTCTCCTCGTGCGCGTGTTTTCCTGCTCCCAGTGGCCAGCGAGTCATCGGCAAATGCTCCGCTTCCACCTTTTGCGTCATCGCCTCCTTTCAGTCTGTGGTGGTAGGGACGCATGGCAGGCTTCTCCTTCGTCTTTCATGACGCACCCTGTGGACTCACATTGGTGTCAGTTATTTTCTGTCTGGTAAACAGATGCAGCAATTAGAATGTCGAAGGCATGTAATGCGTTGCCACAAGCGAAGTTTTTCGGGCCAAGACATGAGCCTCGTTTTATTGACAGTTCGTTCGGGCCAATCTCATTTGGAGTCAGTGTCAAACCAAACAAACTAGGAACCTCTCTTCACATTTCCTCTAGTATGCATTGGTGAGTTGATCAATCTCAACTCTGCACTAGAAAGGTTCAAAAAATAATGGTTGCAATGGCTTGATGATGCTTGATGATGCTTGATGTCTGTTTTGGCAACTGGTTGGGTTTGGAAGAATTCCGAGACGAGCTCCGAAGGCTGGAGGTCGGACTGCTCCAAGGACTCCGGACTGAGAGCTGAGTCTACACGGGTCAATCGAGAACGAAGCGAATCAAAACTTGAAGGATAGGAAGGATCGGAAGGAGTACTGTATATAAACGATCTAGAACTCAACAGAAAGCACACATCAAGAACTAACGAAAAGAACAAAACATTGTCCCAAGACATCTCAATAGAAAAAACATGAACACATATAAATATATTGTTTATCCAGGAGGATATTTAAACTTTGTCCTCTGAGACGGACGTTTCCACATGTTTCTTCGGGTCCGTTCTGCCTTGTCCTCCTCACTGTTGCGGAAGAACTGAAGCCTGGCACGCCCAGAGCTGTTGTGGCGTGGAAGCAGCAGCAAGTGGCGTGCCCAACAAACAAAGTGTTCAGCAAAATAGAAGACATCAATATGGTCCTGTTCTGGTTTGGATTCAATCTTCATTGTGGACTTGGTAGTGGCAATGTTCAGTTGATGGTTCAACAAAAATGTGTTTCAACCACCCTGAAACAGGACAAAACAGGCGGTGTCCATCTACACAGTCATCCTCTGAACTCAGAACTCGATTGACTGGTGCGGTGCACTGAAGATCCGTGGTGGGACCTGGATCCTAAACCTGTTGAAGAAACATGTTGCTGGCCAAGCAACATGCATTTTATCCAACTTGAGCCTATCAAACATTTGGAGACATTGACTGCTTCCAACGGTCAAATGTATGAACATGCATGCGAATGCATGGTTCCTGGTTGCCGCCCAAAAGATCTCAAAACCAGGCTCAAATCCCACATGTGGGTTCAGATCGGCATCAACTCAAGTTCCCAAAGCGAAAAGGAGGCCCTGTCAAAAAAAATATACACAAAGCGCAAACCTGCACCACCCAAAGGATGGCTGAAAGGTATACACACAGAGTGTCACACATCCCAGTGAATTCCATGTTCGAGTCGCACAGGCTGGGCCCGGTCCAAGCGATAGTCAGGGATGGATGCCTAAGCTTGGGGCAGCTGGATGAGTTGGGTCGATGTCTGCCAAACAAACCGACAGTCAAGTTGGCGGCGACAGTGGAACAGTTTTTTGGAGATGTGTTGCTGTTGTGGCTGTTGTTGTTGTAGTTGTTGCGGGTTGTGGTTGTTGTTGTCGTTGTGGTTGCGGTTGTTGTCCTTGTCGTTGTCGTTGTTGTTGTTCCTGTAGTAGTAGTTGTTGTCAATGGCGTTGTGGTTGTGGTTGTTGTTGCTGTTGTAGTTGTAGTTGTTGTGGTTGTTGTTGTCGTTGTTGTGGTTGTTGTTCCTGTTGTTGTCGTTGTCGTTGTGGTTGTGGTCGCGATTGTGGTTGTCGTTGTGGCTGCGGTTGTTGTGGTTGTGATTGTTGTCTTTGTGGTGTAGTAGTAGTAGTAGTAGTAGTAGTAGTAGTAGTGGTCGTCGTCGTCGTCGTCGTCGTTGTTGTTGTTGTCGCTGTGGTTGTTGTTGTCGTTGTTGTTGTCGTTGTTGCTGATCCTGCTGTTGCTGTTGTCGTTGTCGTTGTGGTTGCGGTTGTTGTTTTTGTGGGCTAGTAGTAGTAGTAGTAGTAGTAGTAGTAGCAGTAGCAGTAGCAGTAGCAGTAGTAGTAGTAGTAGCAGTACCAGTAGCAGTAGTAGTAGTAGTAGTGGTAGTAGTGGTAGTAGTAGTAGTGGTAGTGGTAGTGGTGGTGGTGGTGGTAGTAGTGGTAGTAGTGGTAGTATGTAGTATGCAGTATGTAGTAGTAGTAGAAGAAGTATGTAGTAGTATGTAGTAGTAGCAGTAGCAGTAGCATTAGCATGCATTAGCAGTAGCAGCAGTAGTAGAAGTAGAAGTAGAAGTAGAAGTAGAAGTAGAAGTAGCAGTAGTAGTAGTAGTAGTAGTAGTAGTAGTGTGAGTACGTAGTAGTAGTCGTTGTTGTGTGGTTGTTGTTGTTGTGGTGGTGGTCGTTGTTGTTGTTGTTGTTGTTGTGGTCGTCGTTGTTGTTGTCGTCGTTGTGGTTGTCTTTGTTGTTGTGGTTGTGGTTGTTGTTGTGGTCGTCGTTGTCGTTGTTAACGTCGTCGTTGTGGTTGTTTTGTTGTTGTGGTTGTGGTTGTGGTTGTGGTTGTTGTGGTTGTTGTTTTTTGTTGATGTGGTTGTGGTTGTTGTTGTGGTCGTCGTTGTCGTTGTTAACGTTGCCGCTATGGTTGTTTTGTTGTTGTTGTGGTTGTGGTTGTTGTGGTGGTTGCTGTGGTGGTTGTTGTTGTGGTTGTTGTTGTTGTGGTTGTTGTAGTGGTCGTCGTTGTCGTTGTTAACGTTGTCGTTATGGTTGTTTTGCTGTTGTGGTTGTGGTTGTTGTTGTGGTTGTTGTTGTGGTCGTCGTTGTCGTTGTTAACGTTGTCGTTATGGTTGTTTTGCTGTTGTGGTTGTGGTTGTTGTGGTTGTGGTTGTTGTGGTTGTAGTTGTTGTTGTCGTTGTGGTTGCGGTTGTTGTCGTTGTCGTTGTGGTTGTGGTTGCGATTGTGGTTGTCGTTGTGGCTGCGGTTGTTGTGGTTGTGATTGTTGTCTTTGTGGTATAGTAGTATAGTAGTACTAGTAGTAGTAGTAGTAGTAGTAGTAGTAGTAGTAGTAGGTCGTAGGAGTAGGAGTAGTATGAGTATGTATTGTAGTAGTAGTAGTCGCCGTCGTCGTCGTCGTCGTCGTTGTTGTTGTCGCTGTGGTTGTTGTTGTCGTTGTTGTTGATCCTGCTGTTGCTGTTGTCGTTGTCGTTGTGGTTGTGGTTGCGGTTGCGGTTGTTGTGGTTGCGGTTGTTGTTTTTGTGGGCTCGTAGTAGTAGTAGTAGTAGTAGTAGTAGTAGTAGTAGTAGTAGTAGTAGTAGTCGTACTCGTAGTGGTAGTAGTAGTAGTAGTAGTAGTAGTAGTAGTAGTGGTAGTGGTAGTGGTAGTGGTAGTGGTGGTGGTGGTGGTAGTAGTGGTAGTATGTAGTATGTAGTCAGTAGTAGTAGTAGAAGAAGTATGTAGTAGTATGTAGTAGTAGCAGTAGCTGTAGCAGTAGCATTAGCATGCATTAGCAGTAGCAGCAGTAGTAGAAGTAGAAGTAGAAGTAGACGTAGAAGTAGAAGTAGTAGTAGTAGTAGTAGTAGTAGTAGTAGTAGTAGTAGTATGAGTACGTAGTAGTAGTCGTCGTTGTTGTCGTTGTCGTTGTGGTTGTTGTTGTTGCGGTGGTCGTCGTCGTTGTCGTTGTTGTTGTTGTGGTCGTTGTTGTTGTCGTCGTTGTGGTTGTCTTTGTTGTTGTGGTTGTGGTTGTTGTTGTGGTCGTCGTTGTCGTTGTTAACGTTGTCGTTATGGTTGTTGTTGTTGTTGTTGTTGTTGCGGTTGTTTAAATTGTTTAATTTGTTTTCGGAGGAGGAGTCGAAGATCGTCGACGGTGCATGGTTTTCGGTCAAGACGTGCTGGTCGACGGTGAGGTCCGGTGAAACCGAAGGAGACCGAAGGAGACCGAAGGAGACCATGAGGTCAGGTGGCTCCGGCCACATGGTTCGGTACAGAAAAACACACGGTCCGGCAAGATCCCCCCCAAATGTGCATTCAAGTGGAGGGGATGGACTTTGGGGTAGATGTTTATCTGGTTCGCCTTGCTAAGTTTGATTTAGTTGAATTGGATCTACAGAACATGGTTGATAAACAACACAATTGGCAGTTGGGCCCTTGTCAGTTAGGTACGTATGATCTGGTTCGCCAAGCAGCTTGCAAGTACCAAATCAAATAGCTCAGCAAGAAAAGGAGGATGTAGGACTTCTCCATCATGGACCATGAAGCCCCATCCAGAACCTTCACGGTTGTGGCTTCGAGCCACGACAACGACCAAACGAGACCGCGACCAACGACCAATCAAGTTCCTGCCCGAAACGCTGGTGGCCGCGGCTGTTGGTACCCGGTTTTTGTTCGTGTCAGTTGTCCCATGCGTGGGAATCTCGTAGTAGGTCAAAGGCAATGTCACTTCCCCAAAATGGTATACATTTGCCCGAGCAGTGTGGCCACGCTATGGTTCTCTCATAACAAATGCAAAAACATAAATAACTAAATGTGATCAAATGTGATGACATGTGTGCTCTCATATGTGCATGCTCATGTGTATTCTCATATGATATAGGTGTCCTCCTAAGTGCGCTCCTTGAGCATGTGTATTCAGTCGTGTCTCTGTGTGTGTGTCACCCTTGGAGTCATAGGGATGCTTTTGCATTTGTTTTACTGCAGGGGGGCACAGGAGGCCCATAGAGCTGTGCCGAACGAAGCTCTCTATGGTGACCTCAGGATATGCAGCCTGATCAGCTTCACGTACCTGCTATTTTCCTTTTTTTCTGAAATGGCACGAGGCTAAGCCAAGAACCTCAAGCGGCAGATGTGAGCGGAACGTCGTCACCCTGCTCGATTCGCTCGCCGTCTTCGACCTTGAGTTTTTGGCCTCACTTCTTCTTACAGACCTCCAGGTTCTTTAGGACTTTCCTGGACCTTTCAGGTTTGGGTCTCTTAGGCCGGCGTGTGGCACCGCATTCAGTTCAGTACACAATATCCTAAGTGTGTTTGGCCTTGTGCCAACCCGGGATGAGCCCGCAGAGTGCCTCCCGTGGACCCGTCGAACGGGTGTACGTCGTTATCTCCCCTGCCCGGAGATGTAGATGCCCAGAGCGGGCGAAGGTGGCCTAGGCCGTACGTACGATGATTTTTGTCTCATCTTTGGAATTCCAAGTTGGCTCATGCCTTTACGTGACCGCAGCGGTCAAAGCAGCCAGCCGTTTCGGCAGGGCACAAGGTGACCACAGCGGTCAAAGCAAGTTTTAGGTTCATTGGAACCTGTTGGAGCCTTAGTTTTTCAGTTGATTCTCTTAGTCTCACCTTACCTTCGGCATGGAGCTTAAAATCTTGCCTCCCTCCGGGGAGGCGTGTGTGTGTGTCACCCTTGGAGTCATAGGGATGCTTTTGCATTTGTTTTACTGCAGGGGGGCACAGGAGGCCCATAGAGCTGTGCCCAACGAAGCTCTCTATGGTGACCTCAGGATATGCAGCCTGATCAGCTGCACGTACCTGCTATTTTCCTTTTTTTCTGAAATGGCACGAGGCTAAGCCAAGAACCTCAAGCGGCAAATGTGAGCGGAACGTCGTCACCCTGCTCGATTCGCTCGCCGTCTTCGACCTTGAGTTTTTGGCCTCACTTCTTCTTACAGACCTCCAGGTTCTTTAGGACTTTCCTGGACCTTTCAGGATTTGGGTCTCTTAGGCCGGCGTGTGGCACCGCATTCAGTTCAGTACACAATATCCTAAGTGTGTGCGTGGTCCTATCTTCACTTTCATGTGTGCTCATAGGTGCTTCTCGGGATGTCAAATGTGTGTTCATGTGTGTTTACTCAAAGGGCTTCGTCATATGAGTGTGAAAGGTTCATGCTGGTTGATGGTCGCCCCCCCCCCCACTGTGTCGACCTTGGAACGAACGGAACATAAGAGCAACGGGCTGGTCGGACATCGGGGTTGGAAACAAATCGGTGGGGCAGCTTGGGTGCAGAAATGATTTCTGGGTTGAAACACAAGTCACTTAAAAACTATGAGTCAGTGGGTGGAAAACCATCCTTAGAGATTGAACAAACAATTCACGGAAGAGACCCACGAACAGAAAAAACCACGCCCGGTTTGTAGCCACGTTCAGGTTCCATGTGAATTTTCCCGGGTCTTTTCTGAAACCACGACTCAGATTTGTATCTGATCAATGTCAATTGGGTCTACCCTGTTACCAGTAACAGCGGATGATGGTTAGTAAAGGCCTGTCCCTAGAATAGTCATTACTGTTTACCGACTGTTACAGGTATTTAATAGTACAGATCCAGAATGTCAAGAATGTATTGTAACTCTCAAGCCTTGGACTACCAGTACCATCTACTTTGACAGCTTGTACAGACTCTTGAACCTACAGTGCTGCAGTGTGCGCTACAGTGTGCGCGTCTCCGAAGTTTGGACCTCACTGCATCGTATACTCACCTCACGACCGAGGGGTATGTTGTGTGTCATATATGGTAGATTCAACAAACAGTTAAACAAATGATCATATTCAGTACCTTCCTCCACCTATCCCTTTTGGGATCTCTGAAACCAAAGCTCCCTCGACAATGTCAGGTCTGAAACCTTGACAACGAACCCAGAAACCATGGCGAATGTACCTTCGCCTAGACAGGAATCCGTACCTGAAGAATCTATATATGGAAAAGACTGGAACAGTCATGAACTTGTGTGCTATTTCTCCGATTTCTAGTCTAGTCTAGTCGTGTACTGGGTACTATCTCTTTTTAATCTGCCTTCTGCCTTCTCACTTTTGGAAAACTCCCTAAACCCTCGGCTCCAGCTTGGCGTCGGGCCATCAGCTTCTGCTCATGAGTATCCATGGCAAACAAGAATACGCGGAGATGCTGAAAATCAGTATCGAATTGCGCGGATGATGAACCTTCGGCTATGCACAGCAATCAAGCAGTTTCCAGCTGCTGAACATCGTCATGTGTGATCCAAATGGCTATTTGGCGGGAGCTTTTTTTTGTCTCTCTCTCTTTCTCTCTCTCTCTCTCTGTCCTGCCCCCTAGCTGAACTCTCTCTTCACCCCCCAGGAATGTGTGTGTGTGTGCCTTCCATTTCTATTTATTTTACATGTTTGACCTGTGGCTACCGGAGGATCGCCCACGGCGCTACATGTTTGCATTGTTTCGTGTTGAGGAGTTGCTGTGGAATGCTTTGAATCGTGTTTCTTGTTTAAAGAATGAAGCCGGAGTAGATGAGCAATTAGTAGATGCTAATGTTCAAGACCTTCTTTAAGGCTCTGCTGTCTTGAGGGAATCAGTCAGTGCCAACGGCGAAGGTAGAGGTAGCTTGCATCCATCAGTTCTGGGATGACAGGCATCTTCATACTTTTTCAATCCAATCAGCCAGGCGATTGAAGGAGAATCACTCAATCAATCACCATTCAATCATAATGTAGACTCTTGATTAACTGAGGAGGTTTTACAATCCAAATCAAAAGGGCGTTATGAATCAAGAGTCTACATGATACGCTACAGCCAAGCGAGCCAACCGCGCCCGTATCTCCCATTTCCAGAGATCTGACGATCTGAGTTCAACACCACCGACCTTGGATGATGAAAATACGTTGAACCTGAAGACCCAGCCAGGCCAGGATGATAGTTGATGTTTGGTGATTCTGCCATTCAAAACTCTCTTCGACTTGCCGCCACATCACAGCATTGGCCCGGAACCTCCGTTGGTGCGGAGTCACGTCACCTTCGTTGCCGGGTTATCAACAAATGCCCGTTGATACCCGTTTGGACTGGTGACGTGGGGAGACCAGATCAAAAAACATATTGAACCTACTTCTCCTAAACATCGCAAGCGCAGCATTAGACCGATTCAACTCAGGGCCAGGAGAATGATTCTCCCCTGTTTTGATGTCCATTTATCTGAACACTCTGAAACCAAACAAACTCCATACCTTCATATCAGTCCTTTGCTCCACAAACACATGAAACTGGACGTCCAACAAAAACATTTTTTCCTTTCAACGGATTGTGGAAAATCGCCGAACCCATCGTGAATGCGCAGCGGACGCGATGGGAAAACGGGACGACTTCCTTCCTCGGCCAACGACGGCAGCGACCCATCCCTTTTGCTCGGCGGCACTGTTTCCGCGCTGTTTCAGCGCTGCGCGCAGCTTCATCCGGGCGTCTCCTGAAGCATCGTGAGCTCCGTTTGCCGCGGAGTGGGGGGGCCGGGGACACGGGGACACGGACTGGGGGCACGTTAAGGGACTGTACCAGTACTGGTGCTCTCCGAAATCGATCTAAATACCAAAACAGGAGTGTTCTGCTTCATCCTGAGGTGTCAGGGTTTTCAACAACATGGATATCGATGGAGTTCTCAAATGACAATTTTCCTCTCTCCGTGCCATGTTTTTCTTGTGACTTGTGTGTGTGTGCGGTCTCTAATTCAGACAGTTGACCTTTGGGACAATGGGCTTTGGGACCCCAGACTAGGGACATGACATGAGGGACATGACTCTCATGATGTGGTCATAGTCTCAGCTAACTGCGGCCGAAGCCAATCGGTTGTTTCGTTTGGGCCGGTCTCAGCACTGGTCACACCGGTCCTTCCTCGCATGGCTGGGCTCTGGCTTCTCCTCCAAAACTCTGCTGGAACTGAGTGAATCTATGTGGCCGTGGGTTCGAACCCGGGCACTCTAGTTGACCTCTGAAAATGCACAAGAAATTAGCTTTGCAAGCGATGTCAACCTTTCAATGTTTGGTGGGAGAGAGAGGCTCTGACTCACAGCTATCTTTTTCCGTGGTGGTCCATCTATTTTTCTGCACAGTTGGCGCCATGGTTCTCAATCGAAAGATCTATATACCCTTTGGTCCTTCTGAACCTGAGGACCTGTGAGTCAACACGAGCAACCAGTCAAGCTTCACGATCATCTACATTATCCAAATGAGAGTTCCTGGAATTGACTCTCACCAACACTTTAAAGACTCCAGAATTTGCAAATAGCTCTGATGAGTTCTTTCCACATGTGCTGAAAACGCCACTGGCACCTAGTAAAGGTTTGGCTTTAAAGGATTCCTGAGGTGTGAATAGCCAAAATAACGCTCAATACTGCTCCTATCTGCTACTAGGCCCCTTTGAACTCTGGCAATTCTCACCTACCAACAACTAAATAATTACAGTTATGCAAACACAAGAACTTGCATCCACAACATGTAGGTGCACGGCAGAAAGCTTGCAGTCCTCACGCCCTAAAAGGATCTAAAAGGACCACATCTCCATGGTACACACACACTGTCATCTCGTGGTCAAAGGTGTTCCAGAGCGTGCGACATGTGAAATGGAACATCTTTCCCACAGCTTTGACATGCAGTGTCTACACTCATGCACAAAAAAAATATTGACACGAGCATTCACTGCAGAAATGGACGTGAAGCAAGTAAACGATGGACACCCAAGGAAGCTCAAGCGAACACACAAAAAAAAGGAAGCTTGGGACTCGGGACTTGCCTAGAAGTGCGAAAGAAGGTTCGCCCTCATGCAATCCAATGCAATGCAATCAGCCTTCGCTTTCAAATTTAGTCACCAGGCTGGGTGTCACGACCATTCACAACTCTCACCTTCAATCTTTGTCTAGAAGACAACCAAACAATGTGTCTGCATGTCATGAGAATAGATCATTGCGGGGTTCCTGCGGCTGACTCGCCGGCAAACTCCTTCTGCAATGAAACACAAACGCACAAAACCAGACACATGTGATCAACATTGGATGTATTCTGATGCCCGACAAAGTCCATCTGACAACATGGACGACGGCCATCTATCATGCGCGGTCAACACTTACATCTACTTACCACAATATATGCAGCAACATGGTTATGCATGGGACAATCTGGATGTGTAAGGCTCCAGACTCCAGAAGATCCCCAACCGGCGGTGTATTCCTCATTCCAGGGGTGGTCAACGTTGGGTCTCCGTGATTCACCGGCGCTGGGACCGACACCGGTGGCTCCTCGCTGATGGCCCAAGCGATGAGTTGCACAGGCGCCAGGCCGCAAGGGATGCACAAGGCGATGAGCACCTTGGAAGCCGCGGATCACTGGAAAAAATCGAAAAGAGAAAGAGATGTGTCGTGAAAGAAACAGAAACACGATCGACCGCCTTGGATGTCGGGATCTTTTCCTTCGTTCGACCCCATAGGCTTCGGGTGTTCCCCTCTTCGAACAGACACAGCCAGAACTACAACAAAGGCATCCCCTCGTTGCGGTTAGTTTATCTTTCACAAAGGGGGCCTCTTGACATGCTTAAGACTCCGGAAAGCTGACATAGACGAGTCACCAAAATCCGGAATTCATCCCAGGATGTTTTGAGATAACTCAATTTCACTTCCAGGATGCCCCAATCTTCAACTTCATTCTCCCGCAATCCTTGCTCCCACCAACCACGGCAGCCACCGATGGAATCCCAGCCATAAGCAACTTCAAGCTTCAACAAAAGACACGATCACGGCATATCACATACATATATATATATATATATATTTGGTCATCAGGACCACCTTTTGACATGCTGAGTCACCACCATCTTCATGTCAGTGGAATCAAGGCCATGCTGACCATGGTCATCGTCCTCATATTCCTGCCCACGAAATGGTCGCCGAGATTTCGATGGTCGCATCCCATGGTCGTTGGGTCTCTTTTCGCCCAGCCAGCGAGCGAAAGCACGTTGGGACCCCGGCCGAACAAGCCAGGAAGCTCAAGAAGCCCAGCACCAGGTCCTTGGTGCACCGAGGGAGCCCAGTCAGGGAGCTCACCAGGTCTCAAGGGGCTCAGTCAATCCGTCTCAAGCACTGAAGCGATGGTCGTTTTTACATGGGAAGGTTGGGTCAGCCCTGGCCTGGTGGTCCAATGAGAAACCTCCTGACCAGCAGTACGGGACCTCCAACTTGTGAAGCTTAAGATCATTCTTGATGAATTCCTAGAATCACAAAGATCAATCCTGTTCTTGGTATGTCTTTGACATGAAACACTTAACGCAACACGGTATCTAAACAAAGGATTAAACGGTCCGTCGACAGAATGCAAGCCAAATGCACCGGATGCAACTCGAAGGCATGAATCGAGTCGAGGAGACGAGGAGTCGAGAAGAATTCGCCCTGATTCCCTCGTTGGAATGAAGTTCAAAGGTGACCAATGATTCAAGGCGCTTCCCGGCTGCGTATACGGCCAAGCGCACGACACCCAAACCGAGTGAGCCATGGGATTCCTCTTCTGCTTCCTCCCGGTTTGGTACACAGAATGACTCGAGAACGCTTCACGGACCTGACCAAAACCGGAGAAAAGGCGTCATATCTTGGAGAGTTCCCGGTCGCAAAGGAGCTTTGAGCTGCACTGATGTGCTGTGAGTGTCTGGGATTTGTAGGCAGCTAGCCTCCTTTGATGATCAGCGGACCTGATGAACAGCAACACAAATCTTTCTGAGAGAAACACAAACACCGAGACAACAATCTCACAATTCACGATAAATGCATGTGATTGAAATAACGTCTGTCTGTAGATGTCTGTAACTGCAAGCTGCTCCGCGCGAGCTTGGAACCTTAACCTAGGGCTGCAAATGGTTAGATCTCTTAAGAACCTTTGACCACCAGGAGTCACATTTCCAGGAGGCGACGGACCTGGTTGCAGTCAGTTTTGTTATTCATCCTTGCGTGTGACCTCTGCTTTGAGTTATTTGAGGCCATTGGTTGTGTGTTCACCTTGAAGACCTATTTCCCCAACTCCAGCTTCAAATTGGACACCCCCAGCCGAAAAAACATCGTAGCGTCAACTTTTCGTCACTTTGGCGGCTCCCCCTACTTTGATGTCACACCCACATGATCACAACATACCAGGGGGCCTCAAAACCATGAAA